TCTGAAACTGCTTTTGGTATGTGCTGCTGCTCTGACATTGGGCGCTGGGGAGGGTCTCACTCATATGGACACGTGTTCCCTGCATCTGTTTATTAGCTCAGCTTAGTGGAACATTCTGGACTTTGGGGTTAGAAAGAGGGACCCAAACTCTGGTTCTGCCACTTACTGGAGGAGCAATCCTAGAAAGGTCACTGAGTCTCCAAGCCTGCCTCATAGAATAGGGATAATTTAAAGAACATTGCCTAAGACAGGTTAGGCACAGAATACATAGTAACTACCAACTTCCTGTCCTCCAATAACACCCTGGGGAGGTATAGCTATATAAATGTTCCCATTTTGAAAGAATCTGAAGTGGAAATGGGGACAGCTGAGAACTGAACTTGCATCTCAGAGCTCCCAACTGGGTTTTCGCTTGTTTGTTGTGTTATGTTGGTTTTTGTGTTTTTAATCTGATGAAAAGTAGTTTGCAGACTGAGATAACAAGGTAAAGCACAGGTAACACTCAATGTACTGAACACAAAACAGAATTCAACAATTCTGCTGTGTCCCTGCTCATTATTGTTTTTCTGAGTAGCAAGAGAGTCAGAACTTAGTTTATTTTTCTCTTATACAAAATCACACCTTTGAAAACACCTCAATAATAACTGTAAAAAGATTAACTAAAGAACAATTGAAAAAATGTGTTACAGGCATGATGCTTTTTACACTTCAGGGTAGAGATTAGCATTTCTGGGCCTTTTTGAAACAGATTAGAGCTTTCAAGGAGTTAAAGGTTTGGGACTAATATGATCATAGAAAAGACTCTCACCTTGGTGCACCTGGCCTGTCTGCATGTGAGGGCACTCACAGAGAGCTGTACAGGACCTGTCACTGTGGTGCAGTTCACAGGACCAGGAAGTCAAAGAAAACAGCCCAGTTTGAAGGCTACGTCCAGTGCTGACCTTGATACTGTAGAGAAGTCTAGAAAGTCGCTACCACAGTTAAAGGAAAGGATGAAACCAATTGCAGAGGATGAGCTGTAGGAGATTCTTTTAGAACTTAAATAAAGCAATAGTGATATCACAGCATTGTCCTATTCTCTAATTATTCCTTGATTTAGAGTGTCACTTCAGAGAAAACAATTTTTATTCTTGTTCCAGATTTCTCAACCTATAAAAAGAAGAGGTTGGTTTAGATCACTGTCTTAAACTTGTGCTGCCACATACTGGATGCCTTAAACAACAAACATACATATCTCACAATTTTGGAGGCTGGAAGCCCAAGATCCGGATGCCAACACGGGGTTCTCGTGGGGGCCCTCTGCCTGGCTTTGTGAAAGCTAACTTCTTGCTGTACCTTCACACAGTGAAGAGAGTGGGCTCTGGTCTCTCCATCCCCTATCAGAGGACGAACCCCATCATGGGTGTTCCACCCTCATGATTCCATCTAAACCTAATTGCCTCCCAAAGGTCCCACCTCAGATACCACCATGAGGGATTAGGACTCTAACACAGGGATTTGGGGAACACAAACATTCAGTCCATTACAATTACCTCTAAATTCCCTTTTCTCTGATTTTTGTATGTGAAGGTTCCCTACTGCCTGCCAGATCAAACTCAAGTCATAGGTCCAGCTTTCAAGATCTTTCATAACTGGCTGCCATCCAAGGTACCAGATTTGCTTGTCAGCTTCTTCCAGGATGAACTCTCATCTCACTTTAGACCAGTCTCTGGTGTACTCAAGTCTCTACAAGCTGTATTAATCCACTACCTCCACTTTTTTCTCATGTTCATTCTCCTCTCTTGGAGGGCAATGAATTCTCTCCATTTATTCAATGGAGAGTCATTTCATGGGAGCCATTCTTCCAGTCCCCAGATGATCTCATGGGGAAAAATAATATTAATATAAAGTTTTCCTCCTGTGTAGTGTAGAGGAAGTTTGCACTGAAGAGCATTTTAAAAGGGAAGTTGTTGTTTCATATTGTTTTAGTTCATATAAATGCCAGTTCTAAAAATGTGAAACTAAATTTAATATATGCAAATCTAGTTCCAGAGCTACTATTATTAATCCATAAAATCAAAGATTAACAGTATAGGAAAAGACAAAGGACATCAATTTAAGGTAAATTGCAGCTGACTATATATAGGATCACACTTTATAGCTTTACAAATACCAAGTGAATTCTCTAATGTTTGTGATAAGAAAGCCACAGTATTAAGGATTTGCCATTCATTGTAATAGTTTGCTGAAAACCATTCATATATCTCCACACTAAGACTCAGTATTAAATATTTAATCAGAAAGGATTTCAGCTTGGATTTGTTCCTTTGGACTTGATCTATGGTAATCTTTTGAGCAGCTTTGAAGATAAAGGCAATAAAAGACATTCTTGCTTTGATAATTGCCCATGTTCAGTCATTATTGTTCTTATGGATACACTACATAACACAACCTAAAGAAACATCTGTAATGCTTATCTGAAATTACATTATAAGAACAATAATATTCTAAAAACAAAAAGCTTTTTATGACCCTGTATTACTGCTCCACTGGAATGCCTAACAACGTGTCTACTGATAATACAGAATAAGTAAAAGGCATAAGCAGACAATTTAAAAGAAAATATTTTGAAAAAGTTCCAATATCATTAATAGTGATACAGTACTAATTTGCAACATTGAAATGGTAATGAAGTTTGTGTTAAAAGAAATGAGAGAAAAGAAGCTTTGGAAGTTGAGACCACCTCAGTTATTGGAAGGTGGAGGAGTATGTGTGCTGGACAGCTCCCTTTGCCCCCTGAGAGCCAGTTTTCACCCTTCTCTATCCTGGTCTGTGCCCTGGGAGGCTGACCTTAATTAGCAGATGGCGTCCATGGGCTTCCTTGCCTCTGGCTTCCACGTCAGCCTCAGCCAGCAGGAGACACCAGCAGGAGATCAGGGGTGATGGGCTGGTAGGGGTTGTGTTTCTCTCCCAAAGAGCACAGCTCTTCACAAGTGGCTCTTTTCTACAACTGCAAGTCTTGGTGATTTCAGGTAACTGCTCCTTTTTCTTGCCATTTCAGGTTAAGGGGCTGTGTGGCCTCTTGCTGTTGTTAGATGCTTCTCCATCTCTTACTGGTTTCCCTTACCTTGGTCACAACCGTATAAATTATTCCTGCATTAAATCCTATCCCATCATAGCTTCTGAGGTTGCCATCTGTCTCCTGTCTGGACCTGGAAATATGTAGTACATCTCCAAGTCCACTCAGGATCCTAATCAAGTGAGGATGTTTTTTATGCCAAGTAACCTCTTCCATTTTCCTTCTGTAGTACAAGTCTGTTGATTTTGCTTCCCTCCCCCTAGAACTCATTTAGTCTTTTTCTTGCCCAGTAGTCTAATTTTCCAGTAGAGAGCCCGCTCTCCTCATCTCTCCTTACATATGGCTTGGGTAAAGCTGATCTCAGCCCAATCCATGGCTGACATAGGAACAAAGTGAATCCAATTAGGCTTAATCTCAGGAATGCTGTGGGAACTATGGGGGCAAAGAGGCTATAAGGGAACACACAAGCCTGGAACTTTTGGCCAAGGAAGATGGCTTGCCTGAGTATAAACCAATGAAGTGTGCAGGGCACAAAGAGATGGAAAGGCAGGCCTAATATCATTTTAATCCCTGGATCCTACCATACCTGGAGCTAGTCCTTGGATAGTAAGTAGTACATCCCTTTTTTGCTTAAAGCCGAGTCAAGCTTTCTGTCATTGCAGCTGAAAGGTGCCTGACTAATAGACCTTTTCCTAATTAAAACACATATAGGTAGAGAGAGTAAAAAGTCAAGTGTTAGAGACTATATGATTCTAAAACGGTGTTGTCCAGATGTGCAGTGTTGTTTTCATCAAGAACCCTAACACACAGAGTGATGGGAGACTACCTGTATATTTTGTTTATTATGATCTTGGTGCTACCACCACTTGCGTTTGTCCTTTTAGTCCTTTGAAATCTGTGAGAGATGGGATAATACCAAAACAAACAACCCACTTTGGGTTGCACCTTGTGGTTGAGATTATGCATGAACTGGTGCAAACAAAGAACAATGGTGGAGAACAGTTGAATGCTGTGTTCAAGTATTATTTTCAAGCACCATTTGACTGGGCCTTCTCAGATAACACAGTTCACTGGCAGGAGAGCTGTTATTGTGACAGTCATTATTCCCACTTAACCACCTATTAGAATGTGAGTCACTGGGAGGTCACACTGTCCCAAAGCTCAGTGTTCATGGGCACTCATGGTCAAGTTTAAGGGACAGCAATCAGGTGTAGGAACAATGGAAAAAGTTCAATCCTTTGAAATGAAGAGAAGTGGTAACTCCCAGGAGATTGCCACAAAGAGAGTTTTACTATCTTCAACAGATCATGTGATGTGGGAAAAGAAATGACCCAGGTCCTTTCCACAGCTGCTGCCCTCCCTGAGAACAGAAATGAAGTCTTTATTCATCTGTATATACTCTATATACTCTTTCCACTCCTGCCTAGCACCATCCCTTGCACATAATAGGTGCCCATATATGATGACATTTGGGGCCTGCTGCCTTAAGAATATAAGAGTCAGCACATAGTAGTTGCTAAAGAAATCCTTTCTGTCATTATTACTATTATTTGTAAATGTATCCACGTAATTAAAAAGCAGGTCCATGAAAACGCACACAAACACTTTTTTAAGCAACACTTTTAACTTCTTTACCTCTCAAGGCAAAGGCTTTGCTGAGAGTTTTAGTTATTTTCCCTGCCCTCCACATGGAGGTGTGAGAATCAGACTTCTCATCCACTCCCTCACTCATTCATCCATCAGAGACAATTTATGACCACCTGCAATTGGCCATATATTGGACCAGATGTGGGAGAATCAAAGTCAAGACACAGCCCAGTTTTAACACAAAGGCAAACCTGTGGAGATGGATGAGAATCAGCCTACAGATCAAGTGGTTCAACAAGTGCTGGGGAAACTCTGGGAAAACTGACTATGGCGGGTGGCAGGGGAGTGTCCTTACCTTTTCTGCAAGCCATCCAAGATGCCTGACCTCTCGGCTCCCAGCAATGCCTGTTTTCCCCAGTTGCTCTCTGACCTCGGCAATCACTTGGGTCAGCAGGTCACTAACACTGGAATGGATGGCGCTGAACCAGGCCTGGGCAGTGACTGAGTCCTTGCTCCTTAGGATCACTGTGTGCTTAGCATCTGGAGAGTGGATTTCAAGCTGTCTAGAGAAGCAAAGAGAGAGGGGTTAGAATGCTTCCAGGAAGATCATTCTTTGTTAAGTCCTGGGCCAAAGTTGAACTAATTGTCATTCCTCCTTTTAGATTTTGTCAGCTTTGCATGGTTTACCTTGATGGTCCCATCATTCACTCATTCTCTCATTCATTCATCCACAAATATTTACTAAATGCCCAGGCACTGTCTAGATGCTGGGGACATAAGTTATCTAACCACCAAATCACCTGAATTAAGGATGTCTGGGTTCCCTGTTATTCAGTTGACTGGCTTATTCGTAGTATGAGGTCAAAACTTCCCAACTGGGAGCTGATATTAATTTGCATTGCCTATCAATCTATAGAAGATTTTAATGAAATACTCACAGTCTTGCTGCTGCTAGAAGGATGCAGATTAAAATATCTAGACACATGCTTAATCCTACTGCTCAGTGTTAATTATGAATATTTTAGAATCAAAGATGACCAACTTTGCATATCTCAGGCATCCTGTTGGTGATAGATTAGTTACCACTTCATCCTTGGGCATGCGCAGTGAGAGGTGAACTGGCCTAGGCAGGGGTAACAGTGGGGAGAGAGATGTACAAGAGTATCGTATTTTAAGTCAGACACCAGTGCTTATGCCAGATCTCCAACTGGATCCTCTGAGATACAGCATGAGAGATCTGTCTACTGTACTTGCGGTAAAAGGAGGAAGCTTTCTACAGATAAGAACTTATAGATTAAAATAGCATTGTAAAAATAGTGTAAGAGGTCTGGTGTTCCCTTTACCCAGTTTTCTCTGACAGTTTTACTTTATGTAACTGTATACAATTTTTTTTATTAAGGTAGCATTGATATACACTCTCTCACGCTGCCATCTTTAATCTCTCCCTACTGTATACAATTTTTAAAACCAAGAAGTGGACATTGGGACAATGTAAGTGTATGGTACTATGCCATTTTGTCATGTGTAGATTCCTGCAACCACCACCACAGTCAAGGTACAGAACTGTTCCATGGCCACAAAGCTCTCCCTCCACTACCCCTGGTCATCACACGTGTTCCCCTCTCCATCACCATCCCAAATCTCTGGCAACCATTAACCTGTCCCCCACACTTATAATGCTTAGACAGATGTGTTTATTGCAGGGAGGAAAAAAACTACATTTATTAATTAATCTATACATGCAAATAAATATTATTTACTTATTCATGTTTGCATTGAAAGATAAAGGGATTGGGAAATACAAAGCTGACTAAAACAATCCATTTATTTTCATTCATTCCTTAATAATTATGCTACCATTCACTAAATATTTACCATTTACATATGTATTTTTCCTTATCCCTATGACTGCTATTATTAATCCCATTTAACAAGAAAAAAACCTTAAGTTTGGAGGGAGAAAGAAATGATTTACTCACGCCACACAATTAGCAATATTAGGATTCAAACCCATGTTGGCTAGGCTCAAAAGCCCAAGAATTTGGATACTTTTACAATGTCCTTTAGACTGGACAACACCCAATAGGGGGGTACTTTGTTCTCCAGCTGTCTGAAGTCCCATTTTCATCAACAAATATGCCCACTGGCATCCTTAGCACCTGAATTTCAAAATAACAATTTTGCAGATCACCTGAAAGTCAGAAATCCCAACGCAACCTGTCCTCATTTACATTTGAAACAAGCCTTTTAAAGTGAGTAAACTTTTTTACCCATAAACTTAAAAATTGTAGAAAAGGAATGAGTTACAAGGTAGAATGTCTCTAGAGGGGGGTGGTTAGCAACATTAGCATTTTTTTTGGTAAGAAATTTGCAAAGCAAGGATTTTCACTAAGACTCTGAAGGTTTTCTGTGATGAAAGAGGGAATTTGTTAGGACACATTTGTCCTCACCCAGAAGAAAAAAAAACCCTCATGCCTCTTAGGCACTTTCCAAAGAAATGGGAGGGAAGTCTTGCTCAAAGTTCTCACTGTTCAGTAAAGTTGAACAGCGAAACACGAACTAGGATTCTCAAGAATCATTCATAAAAGCTCAAGTTGCTTTTCAAAATATCCTAACACTATCTGTTGTTCTAAGAATTTAAAACATGCAAATATTTCATTTACAGTATTTTCTTTTGAAGGCCTGGATTTGTTTTTAAAGAAGTGGTAGCTTGGAAGCAGTCACTCCCCAGGTATCTCTGTCTCTCTCTCTCTCTCTCTCTCTCTCTCTCTCACTCACACACACACACACACACACACACACACACACACACACACACACGATGCCAGCAAAAAAGACAGAAAAAAAAGACTTTTTCCTTTGTTGGGTTGCCAGCATACCCCCAGAGGAAAATCTACTTGTACGCAGAGGTACCTGCTAATGAGGCAGAGAGGCCTGTTTCTCGCAGGTTTTGACAGCATTTATTGTTATTATTAACTTTTAAGGAAACTCTTAGGTATAATGCAGACAGAAATGTGCACAAATTGTGCAGAGCTCGAAAGTATTTTTGCAAAGGGAATACATTTGTGTAACCACCACCAAGATCAAGAAAAAGAACGTTACAAATATCCCTGAAGTGCTCAGCACACTCCCTTTCCAGCTATTTTCCCCCCAAATAGACACTATTAGGATTTCTAGCACCACTGATTGCTTTTATCTCAGGCAAAATGGATGTTTTGTTTTTTCTTTGCATTTTTTGTTGTTGCCTGAAGTACAGGAAGGACTTTGGACTCTATCTGAGGCAAAATTTAAATACAAGCAGCTGAGTTTTTTGGTGGTGGTTCTCAAAGGGGGCCACAGACCAGCAGCTACACCCCAAATTCTTATGAGAAATGCAAATTCTCGATTCCCACCCTGGACCCAGAGAATCAGGAATTCTGGAGGTGGGGCCCAGCAATCACCAGATAAGCTGATGCACCTGGCGCTGGAGAAGACCTGCTTTGTGGGTGCATAAGAAAAAGCACTGGGTGTGGCTGCAGCCAGGGTCCCCAGGGAGCTGGAACGGACATGCTGAAAGGTGACTGATCTTGGCCTCAAAGAAAGAACACAGAAGACACAGAAGACAGGGAGGGTTGTGGCTTTTTATAGTTAAAAAATAAAAGCAGCAAAAGTTCTCAACCCTTTAGTAACACTTGAATAGGTTGGTTGGTTTATTTGTTTTAAATCATTTAATTAAATACAGATGCTTGGACCCCATCCCAGATCTCCTGAGTAATAATTTCCAAAGGCGGAAGGTATATGGTTTAAATGTTCCACAAATTATACAGACTAAGGACCATAGCAGGCCTCTCTGAGCCCAACCTCAAGTCCTCAAAACAGCTGGACTTACAGGCGGTTGTTACCAGAAGGTAACACCACAGAGGGCTCTTGGAGAGTGTATTAGTTACCCACTGCCAAGTAACAAATTTCCCCCAAAATAAGTAGCTAAAAAGTGCAAACATTTGTTATTTCAGTTCCTGTAGGTCATCAATTTGGGAGTGGCTTAGTTTGGTGATTTTGGCTCACAGGCTCTTGTGAGTTTTTAGTCAGGATGTCAACCGTGGCTACAGGCATCTGAAGGCATGACTGGGGCTGAGGATTCTTGGATGGTCCACTCACATGGCTGTTGGCAGGAGGCCTCAGCAACCCATGACATGGACTTTTCCAGAGTGTGTGAATAACTTCATGATATGGTAGCTGTTTTGCCCCAGAGAGTAAGAAGGAACTACTATTCTTTTTATGAACTGGTCTCCCAAGTCATATAGCATCACTTCTGATTCATTCTTTTTGTTAGAAACTAGTAAGTAAGTCCAATGTACACCTAAGGTAAGGAGAATTAGGTTCTTTCTCTTGAAAGGCAGAGAATCAGAATTTGGGTACATATCTTAACACTATCAACCAAAGAGAGAATTTGGATTAAGTAAGGTTCTGGAAAGAGTCTGTTCCAGTGTAAAAGGAGACTGTTTGCAGCTGTGAACTGGCATTCTATAAAGAGCTTATAGATCTGGGTGAAAATGAAGAAGACCATTCTTTCTGACTAAGCCGCACCACCAGATTATAAAAGGATGCAGACTGTGGACTCAAAATAGGGGTCAATGTCAACAGGAGAAATGAGAAAGAGGCTTTCTTGACAGCATATAGGGATAGCATAAAACTGCCAAAAATGCTGGTGGGTTAGGGATTGTTGGCTGGTCTGGCACAGAAAAGATGTCAATTATTTGTGCAGCAAACAAATGAACAAATGAAAGAATTCAGTGATCTACATTCATTTGTTTACCCCAACAAGGGGAAAAACAGAAAAGAGTACAAACTTTCTCTTTTAATACTAATGAGCTCAACTATGTAAAACAAACAAGTACCTGGAAGAACTGCAGTCCCCAGAACCTATCAGTGACAACTCAAGATTCTGGGCAAAGTCAAGGAGTGATTTTACATATATATATATATGTATATATACACTTTAGCACATTACTTGGCACAAATCTCAAATATACACACTTTGTCCTAATTTATGATTTAAGCTATTTTACCAAAATGTGATCCAGTGCAATGCATGTTTTAGAGTATGAAGAAACAGAGAAAGAAATTCCATTCCTCGGCTGGCTGTGAAGTGGTTCTTTCAGGGGCCCATTTTCTCACCAATTAGAAGCACATGTGCCAGGAAGTAGTTGTTAAGCAAATGGATTTTGGGATCAAGTTGACTCCAAAACTTGTTGGCTGTGAGGAACTGGTTACTTAACCTCACCTGAGCCTCAGTTTCCTTACCTTTAAAATGGTTCCACACACTTGCCTCTCAAGATTATTGCAAAGACTAAATGAGCTAACATGTGCATGACATGTCACAATGCCAGGCTGATCCTCATCAATTCTAGTTTACACTCTAGTTGACAATTCATGCATACAACAAAACTGTAGTGGTCCCGTGAGGCAGGGAGAATACTCCAGAGTGGGCTTAGTTCTACTCTATTTCAGAATTCTTGGATTTGGAGAGAAATGCAAGTCCCAGGAAAAATTAAAAAACAAACTTTGGGGAGAGCCGCATGAG